GCCACTGCCTACCAAAATCTCATCAAAACCTCCATAGTCAAATAGAATGATAAGCTACGGAGATCATTTGTAACATGATGGGATACGTTGAGTCCATCTCCCAGTTCTGTTTATTTGTTGAGTTTGAGACATGAACAAGGTTTGCTCTTGGTTTTGAAATAGATGAGATCTTGTAGTTTGCTGTAGCTTTGTTGTAGACTATCCCTTAGTTTGCTGTAGCTTTGTTGTAGACTTGCGACTGTTACAACTGAGGTTGATGTGCTGCTGCTACTGTGTTGTCTTAATATAAATAATAAATAACAATACAAAATATACATATGTGTTATGCATCTACCAAAATGCCAATGAATTTACAAAGCTCCCTGCTTTTCTTGAGTGCAATCAACATGTTTTCCACTAGGAAATTAGATGAGAAAAATGGGAACCTCCAATTCCACATCTTATCCAGACACATAACATCTGACTTGATCTTAAAAATACAACCACTAACCAAGTGTTATAAATTACTAGAGAAAAAACAACAATGACTTGGAGAGTGTATTATCCAACCAACATCACCTACATTACACATGCGCCTAAAGCTCTTTGGGTCCTTTTAAGTCAATGTGGACGTGGGTAGATTAGTTGTATGGCATTTGGATTTAGTTAGCAGTCATCAACTTCAACACCCATTCAGGCAGCTGGAAAGCCTCCCAGGTGTTGAATTTGGGACTCCTCTCTGTATCTTCATGATTGGTTGCATTACTATTTTCGAATATTGGAGTTTTGGCAGCTAGAAAGCCTCCCAAATGTTGAATTTTGGACTCCTCTCTGTATCTTCATGATTGGCTACATTTCTATTTTCCAAGCTTGGAGTTTTGTTTATCATATATATATATATATGTAAGTATCTTTCAACATTCAATGATGGTAGGAATAATTGGATATCCTTCCACTTTTGCAAGCATTTTGAAATAGTTACTGTGGTTGTTTCCTTTTCCATGATAATTTTACACTCGGCTCGGGGGAATTAAAAATTTTTGGTTTATCATAATTTTTCATTAATTACTATCCTAAAAAAATATTTGTTAGGAAAGAAATGACAAGTTACAAAATTACTAAATAAAAAAGAAAAAATTATTAAAAATTAAATAAAAAAAAAACATGATTTAATTCATTTTTATTATTTTAGAAAATAAAAAAAAAAAAAAAAACTGAGTAGGTTTGGATGGATCTATGCTATACCATTTGCTAATATAGGCGAATCTAAGTAAAAGTTGAGACTTGAATTATCAAACTAGGTCGTATTCGAATAAACATGTATACTAGATCTTAATCTTTCCTGATTCATAAATACCTTTGTTCTTTATTGTTAATAATCATCTCAATCAGGGATGGATCTTGAATTTATAATAAAAAAAGGCAAATAAATAATATTTGTTTACAATAACTATTATAACAAAATAAATTTCATTAACATATAATGTCAAACACTTCTTGAAATATAAAATAACAAAATATTTATAAAAAAAATTAAAATGTATAAAAATTCAATTTTATATGAAAAACTCTCGAAATGATTTTTCTAACATTTGTTCATATGTAGTTATTTTAGAAACAATTTTAGAAAGCTATGTTATCCAAGTTCACTTTTAGGATGCCGTCATTAAATAAATTAATTGTACAAGCCGTAATAAAAATATATCACCTAACTTAAAAAATAAAAAAAAATTAGATAACTTCCAAAATATATATCAAATCTTTATATTATGCCATCAAAATTTATCTAAGTCTAAAAACTTTTTAAAAAATTTAAATTATCAAAGAAGACTACTTGATCACACTAAAATGAAAACAATTCTCAACAAGTGTTTGTTTAGGTTTTATATTTGTAATAAATTAATTTGGATCTCATTTTACATAAGTTTTTTCTTTTTTGGTTCTTTTACTTTATTGTTTGATTCCTCATAAATAGTTGTTTTTCTTTTATCCATTATAATTTTTTTTTTTTAGAATTTTTGAACTTTTTGAAAATTTTTTAAGAATTAATCTCAACTAATGTCAAAAGAAGTTATTATTTAACTAATAATAATAATAATTTTATATTTAAATCGTGAACCATTACTTTACTCAATGGTTTTTTTATTTTTGAGAATACATTCATATCCTTTAAATATTATAAAATACCTCTATTTAAATGTTTCTTTTACAATTTTGTGAAAAATTTTGTGGTGGCAAAAAACAAAAAATTAAAAATTTTGGATTTATTTTTATTAGTTATATTTATTTTTGAGATTTTAGTGGGGTAAATTATAAGAAATATTAAATTTTTGGATAACTTATTAATGGTAAAATTTATTTTTCAAGATTTTAGTTGAAGCAGTCACCCTTATTGCCTTCATCCTAGATTCATTCCTATCTCCACTCTAAATTCGTTCTTGATCTCAATACTAACCCTCATCGACAATCACACACAACTTAAAAATAATTTTTTTTTTATAAAAAAAGGTTGCACTATAAGAAAAGAAATTGCAAGTTTTGTGATTTGAATTTTAAACATGTTATATATCACTTTTTAATAATAATTGTATAAACTAACTTAACTAAATTTTGAATTTAAAAAAATTTACGTTTTAATATTTTGAAGCAAAAACTTTTTTAAAATTATTTTTAATATATTTATTTAAGTATATATATGCTAATAATGGATTTTTATATGAGTTTATATTTGATATATTATAAATGTATAAATTCTATACATTATCAGTAAATCAAATTATATGACTTCGTTAATGAATAAATATCAATCCTTAAAATAAATATACAAAAATTAAATTTTTTTAAAAAACTTACTTAATGAGATGATATTATCTAATTCACTTCATTAATAAAATGACATCATCTTATTCACTGATAGTATATAGAATCTATACATTGATAGTGCATTAAATATAAATCATTTTTATACTATGCTATGAGATATTCTTTTTTTATGAAATGTTATGAGACATTCGATTTGCTAATTTATATACAGCTCATAAGAGTAACCGAAATTGAAAAATAAATGTTGTATAAATAGCAAAACTCTTTTGATAAGTTAAAAATATATTTTTTATAGAAAAAATGTGTTTTTAGTAGTGTTTTTTATAAATGGCTTTAGACCATAATAAAATATTTAATATGATATTTGAATTTTAAAAATTTATAATATAGTATTTAAATTATAAATTTGTTAATTAATATGGTATTTGAAGGATTATTGTTTGTCATGTGTTATCATTTGAATCAGTTACTTCAGAAGTGAGTAACACATTAGTTAATATATTAATAGTTGAGCTAGCTTATTAAAGATTTTTAAAATTTAAGTACCACAAAAACACACTATAATTTAAGGTAGCATTTGATATAATTTTCATGATCACTATAATAATTTAATCACTGAGTTTATCTTATTATTAAAGTGATCTTATCATTTGTGATCTTGAATCATTTTGTTTTGTTAAAAATAATTAATTTTTAGTAAGTAAAAATAATTGTGTTTGGTATTATTAAAATCAAACATTATTTTGTTTGAAGTACTAAAACAACCATACACATTTTAATAGTTACACAAGTTAATGATTTCAAGGTAATTTAAAAATAATAATTTGTATACAAAATATTAGTAATATTTTATTTACTTCATAATAAATATAATTTAATTATTAAGTTAAAAATATATTTATGGATAGTAAATAGTATTTATAGTATAAATCATATAAAAAGTATTTGAATTAGAAAATAAAACTAATATATTAAAATTGAAAGATTATATTAATATATAAATTTAAAAAATTTAAAAATCACATAAAATAATTTTTAACTTGTTACAATGAATATTAATTTCAAAATATTAAAATTATAGTATAAAATAATTACTGCTAATTTTAAGAAGAAACAAATTTTTAATTCGCATATTAAATGAGTAATATTGAATAATATTAATTTTATATATAATCTCATCCCTATAATAAAATTTTTTCACCCTTTTGAATGTGAATTAGATTATCCTCTAAGGCAAGGATTTAATTACTCTCAATGAATTAATATCACTATCACGTAAGATCACAAAGGTAGTGTTTAATATTATTTTCAATATTACCACAATAATGTAATCACCGAGGTGATCTTATCATTCATAATATGAAATAACTTTATTTGGTTAAAAATTATTAATTCATATGAATTAAAGATCAACGTATTTGGTATTATTAAAAATCAAATATTATTTTATTTAAAAATATGAAAATAATCATTCTTATTATAATAATTACACAAGTTAATAATTTAAATGTTGTTTAAAAATAATAATTTATAAAATGTAGCAATATTTTATTTATTTTATAATAAATATAATTAACTTATTAAATATATTTATTTATTAAGTAAAGTAATTTTTAAATATAATTACGTAAAAAAATTTTGAATTAGAAAATAAAACTAATTTATTAAAATCATAGTAAAAAAAACTAAAGACATTATATTATATATAAAAATTAGAAAAAGTGAAAAAAAATACAAACTATTTTTGAACTTGTTATTAATAAAATATTAGTTTGAAAATAAAATTTTATAATATAAAATAATTATAATTTTAAGAGTAATCAAAATTTTAATTCACACATTAAATGGGTAATATTGACTATTATTAATTTTACATATTACTTTATTTCAGTGATAAAAATTTTTGAGAATGAGAATTAAATCATTCTTTAAAATAGTGATCTGATCACTCTCGGTGATCCAAAATCAGTACCATATAAGATCAACATGTGTTTACTAAATAAAGTGATCTAATCACTAGGTATAGATTATCATGATTTTTAGAATAATTATCTCATACTAAACACTATTTATGTGATTACCAAATATGATGATCTAATCATCATTTGTAAATCATCATAATTTTTTGAATGATCAACTAATACTAAACGGTATCTGAAGATTAGTAATGACATTAATCCATTTTAGCACTGAATATCTATATAATTAGCAAGTCGATGTCAAATAAAAAACAACTGGTTTTCGCTTCTACAAAAGTTGTAGAAATTATTTTCAAATTTCTCCAAAACATTACTCACCGATAGCCAGAGATAATGCACCCAAAAAGAAAAGCAAAAAAAAAAGACCAGAGAATCCCAACTTGAAATAATTACAAAACATAAATGTCTTATGCGTTTTTCAACTCCAACCTGGTTCAGAAAGGGTGAGACTCAGCAAATTTGGAACCATATAGTCATTACAGCAACAGCCTCGCGCTTCCAATGGTTAGCAGCTGATGATACCTAGGCATACAGCTGATGTTCACCGAATAAAAAAAAGAAAGAAAATATATTAAGATCTACTAAATTTTAACATTATTTTTTAAGTTTATATTTGATACATTATTAATGTGCAAATTTTATATAATGTCAAAATCAAATAATATTATTTCATTAATAAATAAATATAAATTTTTACAAGTTCTTAGAATAAACACAAATTTTTTTTAAAAAATAACTTTTATTAATAAAACGATATTATCTCTTTTATTGATAATATATAAAATTTATATATTAATTATGTATAAAATATAAATTCTTTATATATATATATATATATATTTTACAATTTATCACATCGAAAAGATGTTTAAGTACTTAGCAATAGCATATTCAGTTAAAATTAAAAATATACCTTTAAGGGAAGACTCTTCCCAATAAAATCCCACTGAAAATAAGGGCACCAAACCATTTGTTGGACACAAACCTGACACCATGAAAAGGAGATTTTAATTAGGAGTACTAACTAAACTGGAATCTGTATTTGACAAAATTTTACGTAAAAATGAATTGCTATCACTGCTAAAAGAAGCTTCCCTAACATTTATATCAATACCCATCAAAAGGTACTTTGTGCATAACAAGGAAATTTGACACATTTATTTGCAGGCAAAACCAGTAATTTCTCAGAGAGGTCTTTGGAAGTGTGATGGAAGAGATTCTCGTCGCACCACAACTGCGTTAGATGCGAGGAGGTAAGGAATCCCTCCCACCACGCTGCCAAAGGAAGCCTAAGATAAATACGCACTTTCTACCGGAATCCGCTGGGGATGACAGATTAACAGTCCCTATCTGCCAAGCTAATTGTCCAGATGCAGCAGCTAGAAACACATAATATGGCCACCCTGCTCAAAAACAGATTATGGAGATTTTAACAAAATTAGAAAGAATTACAATAATCAAAGAAAATGTTGCTTGGTAGTTTCAATGTAAAGCAGTAAGTACCTATTGCAGCATTGTATCCCGTAAGAGCAAGACTACTAATGCATGCAATTGCAAACCCAGTAATCCACTCCTTGGATGAATCCCCAAATTTCAGGGCCGTGGACTTAACACCAATTTTGATATCATCTTTTTTATCCTGAACTAATTCATGGTTAGATCAACAACATCAAAGAGAACAGTTTTTAGATGATTGCTCCAACATACCCCACTATTCCATGACACCGACAGATCTTGTTAAATAGAGAAAGTATCACGCAGCAGATGGGGAAGAAAACGCAAAAACAAGTCACGCAAGTCATTTTGAGTCTTGGACCCAGGAAAATTAAACAGCTACGAATGCCAAAAAAACTCTACATGTGTCACTTCTCACTTTGTATATACGCCTATCCAAGGACCGATCGGGTAAGTCCGGATTAGAGTTTTCAAATCCAAGATCGGTTTGAAATATTTTTCACTTAGTTTCAAATATGTTTGAGAATTTAAAATTAAATAAAATTAATTAATAAAATTTATTTTTATTTAATCTTAATTTTAAAATATATTTAAAGTATTAATATTTTAATACTTTTTAATATATATTTTAAAAGTTTTTAGGCTGACAGGTTGGGCCTTCTAAGGGGTTTTAAAACGCCTACTAGATTGGTTTGTCCAATCTGTCTATGGACCCATGATTTTTCAAATCCAGGATCGGCTTGGAAAATTATTCAACTTAATTTTAAATATATTTTAGAATTTAAATGAAATCAAATTAATTATATTTAATTTTAATTTTAATTTTAAAATATATTTAAAATATTAATATTCTAATACTTTTTAATATATATTTTAAACAATTTTGGAGCTCTTGGGTCCGACAGGCTGGGGCTTGTCTAGGGTTTTTTAAAAGACCAACCACCTTGGTATCATGGTATGTCCAATCCGTCAATGGACATATCTAATTATATACACCTCGATATTGATTTTTAAAACTGTAATTAAATCTTTATTAGATTTTGTCACTAAGCTTTCAATTTTATTAATTAATTTTTTGAATTTTTATTATCCTTTAATTTATTAAATTTTACTGGTAAATTTGTAATTTTATTTAATTTATCTTTAAAATAATGAAATAGAATTATTTTAGGTAGTATTTTGTTAAAGCAAAAATAGAATTTCATTAAATTCGTTATTTATTGCTTAAAAAAAAAAACAAGAAAGAAAGTATAGTGCCAAGATTCAATGAAGTTAAAGTATAATAACAAAATTCATAAAGGAAAGAAAGTATAATGACAAAATTCCACGTATTAACATTATGAAAATTTTGGGTTTAATCTAAAAAAAAACTGCTACCCTATGTCATAACCATCTCACAACACCATGACCCTGATAAGTTATAGGAGAGCTAAATCTGTCTCAATTGTGATTGCCAATATCTCAACTCCATGGCTAGTCTCAACCAGAGTGAGGTTGTTGAAAATCGAAATTAACTTAATAAGTTGAGGGAAAACTTTTAACAACAAGGAACAAATTGTTGAGAGATAGTAAATTGTATTTACCTGATGAGCATATATGGTATCGTACAAAAGAGTCCAGAGAAAACCAGAAATGAACAATGGGAAGACAACAGATGGTTGTAAGCTTCCTTTAACTGCATGCCAGCCGAATAAGACTCCCCAGTTGATGGTCAAACCTAAATAGGCTTGGGGCTGCATCAATAATATTATAAAGGTGTATGAAAGATAAAATCAACAAAGACCCAACAGGGAAAAGAAAAGGTATATAGTCATCATTACCCAATATGTCATTCTCTTCATGAGAGGATAGGTAGAAATTAGGAAGATGAATAAAGCCTCATAGATCATGCTGTGATTAACATATAGTAAAACCAATATTAGATCGATATAAATATATATATATATAGCAAATCTAATGTCAAACAAGTGTAAAGCTTTGGAAAAAACTAAAAATTTGATCTCGTTCTTTTTTATAAAATTCTATTTGTAGCTGAAAATGATTTTAAACTTTTCACTTAAGTTCCCAAAGTTAGAAATACATAAAATCTTTTGTTATATTTGAGTAAACAAAGATCACTTTATGTCTCAGAAAATTTTATTATCATCCAGCTAGTGTTTTCCAATAAATATCGTTGAGTGAACTGATTTGGGTTAATAAGACAATTAATGGAGTAAAACGGTTCATGGATAGCAAATTAAGTTGAAATTTAAAATACTTTAAAAATGATACAAGAAATTTAAAGGTTTTCGTAGATCTAAATCCAGGAATAACAGTGACGGCAATGAACCCTTAATTTACTCCACTATTTACTCAATAACCTGGATTTTGTAGCCTATTTTTTGTAGATATAATCCTGGATTTTATAGCCGATTTTACATCAAGATCAAACATCCCGTCGTTGTCAAAGAAGAAAATTTAAAGATTTGAATACAGAATAAGGAATGGATCAAAGATTCTTATTCTACTTAGGATAAACTTAAACTTTACTAACACACTGTGGATCAACTTAATTAAGGTTGTAAACCAAAGAACAAACCTCGCTTTAATTTGCCTAATGCTTTATGCAACTATGTACATTTGAAATGTCTTATGCTATGACAGATGCATAGAATGCCGAACAATAGTTTAAACGTTTTCGATTGAGGTACAAGTTTGAAAAAAAAAAAAAAGTAGGTTTTTCAATCATTATGGAAAACAAAAAGCATTGAAGCAAGGAGAAGAGAATCAAGTGACTACCTATAGTTGGTGAGTTGGAGGAGAATTCCATGACTCAAAAGCAATTGAAACGCAAAAAAACAAAGTCCTTGAAATGGTGTGACATCACCACTTGCAAATGGTCTCATTTTTGTACGCTCTACCTGCGCACAGAAGAAATGCCTTCACATATAGCATAGTTGCATGGATAAAGAAACATGGTTGGTTTATAATTTTGAGGCCCTTTTATTTTGTAGGGAAAAGAATGTCAAGAAAAAAAAATTCTAATCATTAATCTACGTAGAGCTTCATTTGAGAATACTTTTACTTCTACTTTCACTTTTGTTTTTTCTTCTTAAAAAAATGAATAGAAAAGAAAAAAATAAAATAAATAAAAAATCACAGACAAATAGGGAAAAAGAAAAGAAAAGAAAAGCAAAGAACAAAAATATCCACTAAATGAAACTCAAATTTGTTTTGTTTGCAGCTATGACTAGTTTAAATGCTTCTAAAAAAATTGAAATGTTGAACCGTGCCTTTAAAGAGATTATGCTTTATCATTGTTTTTGAGTGTTCTGTGCATTATTATCAAACAACAACCTGGCTTCTCAATTCTCATTATTTATCATTACGTACAATATTTTAATTGCATGCGGAAAACATGTTGGCAATGATATTATATATTAATCACATACTTAATTCTAACTGGCCGGGTTCGTTAAAAAAAAAATTTCCACCGTCAATAATGTTTTGGTTTATTGCTAAGAGGAAGTTTTAAAATTATGATATTTTAAGTTTTACAGTATATAAATTTAATTATTTAGTTATATTTCAATTTATTAATTAATTACTTAATAATCAATACAATTTAATTACAATATAATAATTTATTATTTAATTATTTATATAATTTTAATATTTAATTATAATCGTAATTACCAAAAAAAAAAAAAAGGGATTGGGTATTATATTTAGTGGGGCCAAGTATTGAGCCACAAAGGTGTAAAAAAGTTTTTTTGCCTCCCTGACCAGGTTAATAAGGATAATAAAATCATTTATATTTCGTTGGTTCAATTCGTTCTAATATGATAAAAATAGATTTTTTTTTTTTTTAAATTGAAAGTTGGGTAAGAGATGAATTGGGTTTTTTTTTAAGTCGGCTTTAAGTTGTAAAATTTTTTTGTTATTTATTTAATTTATATTTATATTTATATAAATGAATTATATCAATAAAATTATAATTTAATTTTTTTAATTTAAAATATTAATTTAATAAAAATATTATATTTATGTATAATTAAAATATAATTTATATTAAAAAATAATATTTTGTAAATATTATGTTAAATTAAATTTATCAAATTAATTTAAATAGAATGGTTACAATTAGTAAATATATAAATAAGACCCAGTAAAAAAACATAATATTTTGAACTCAAAATTAAATTTTAATTTTTAAATCATAAATTAAAATTCAATTATTTCTTTTTAAATCTTAAAATTAAAATTCAAAATAAGTTTCAAATTCAACTCTCAAATTATTTCAATCGTTAAAGTTTTGTTAATGAAAAACATATAATATATCAATAGGATCGGTAATCCAACCCATTTTCAATGGGTTTTGACCCGATCCGACTTCATAGGATTGATTTTTTTTTTAATCGGGTTTTCAAGTCGGGTTAGATATTGTTAAAAAAAATCGGGATCGAATTTTAGATAAACCCAATCTGACCTGACCTAACCCGATATTTATATATAAATTAATTTTTTAATTAATTATTTAATTTATTTATATATATTTATATGATTATATATTTAAATATTTATATTTTAAAAAATAATATTTTATTAATTTTGGGTCAAAATCGGGTATGAAAAATATAAAAAAAAATTGAGTCGGGTTCGAAGCGAGCAAAAACCCGCCCCAACTCGACCCGTTGCCAACCCTATATATCAATGGTAATTTAATTATGATCATATTTTTAAAATGATAATTTAATTATTAATATTTTAAATTTAGTTATTAAATTTTCAATAAATATTTTTTTTCTTTAAATTATTAGTCTTTAACAATATATTAATTTGATAATGTCACATTAGCAAAAAAAAATGGTGAGGCTCTTTGACCTTTTAATCAGATTTTATCCACTTACATTTATTTTTAGATTTAATATCCAAATAAACATTAGAATTTTATTTTAAAATACAAATAAATTTTCATTTTTTATGACATGAAATTAAGATTATAATTTTTATTTTATTATAATTATTTTCATTAAATCTTAAAATTGAATGAATAATGTTTAATTGATAGAATTTTTAAATTAATATTATTTCAAATATTTATCATTTAACTCATTTAAATAAATTTAAGTATTTTTACAAATTAAGTTATTTTTAGTTAAAAAATTCAAACAAAAAATTAAATATTTCATACCGTTAATATTATAGTTTCGATAAAATAAAAATTTTTAACCTTAATTTCATACAATAAAAGATTAATAGCTTATTTGCATTTTAAAATAAAGTTTAGGGTTTTCATTACAATCTATAATTTTGTAATTATAACAAAAATTATATTAAAATCCATTATTTATAACTGTGAATTTCATATAAAAATTTAAAAAATCTTACGTAATCATAATTTATAATTAATTAATTAATTATAGTATAATAATTGTAAGTAAAGTGCTTCTAAATTATATCATATAGATATATACTTGTATATTTAATTAAATTTTTATCGATGATTGATGAGCTAGATGGATTGAAAAAAATTGAATTTTAAAAATTGTAAATAAGAGTATTGTAAAACATCACCATTAATTTTATTTTAACGAAAAATTACCATTTTATCAATATCACGGTCATGGAAATCATTAATGGTACAAGCAGCACCCCTCAGAAGTGGAGCCACAGAAGCAAATAGAGCTAAAATCTTGAAATCAGGAAGACTTCCACTGGATGCTGCCAACGTAGCTGACCTATAAGTAAATAGCAATTGAAGGGAATTCAGTTTAATAATTAATTAGAAGAATATGCATAAAAAGCCTGAATAATGCGACTATAATCTATATATAAACAGGCATATTTTCAAGTTTTCACCACCAAAAAATAAAATAAAATGAACGAGCATACCATGCAAAGGGAAAAATCAATAACCATGTACCGATGGGCTTCTCCACGCGAGCAAGCTTTGCCAAAGGCTGAACTTCTTCGGGTAAGTAATCAATCCAAGATGAAACCTCCACAACTTTCTCATTTTGGCCACTTAGCCTTTCATTTTCTTTGCCGACTGGAGATGTGGTTGTTGACATGCAAGCAATTCGGGTTTTGTATTTTGAGGAAAGCAATAATGAGGAATTTTTCTGAGAAAAAGACGGAGTCGGGAATGGGCTGTTCAAAGCAGGATTCCTGAACAACCTTGTTGTTGGGAGTGTAGAAAAAAGAGAGGGAGTTAGGAGCCTGCATGAAGCGTGAGCGATTGAAAAAGATGCCATTTTTTTCTGTTTACAGCTGAGAATGAGATCAATGTTTGGCTGTTTGAGGCAGTTCTTCAATTTTGGAGTTCGGCCAGCTTGATCACAAAACTGGACTAAACCAAAACTGTGCTGAAGAAAGAATATCTGGAGTGAATTCAATCGTACTAGAGCATAGATGCTTCATGATTCTAGTTATGCTATTTAAAGACTAACGAATTTCAATCCAAAAGATGCCGGTCTTGCAAGGCAACGAAAGTTGTGGAAAAAAGAAAACAAACTAACAATCCACTTACCTCAAGTGCAACAATTTTTCAAATTTACGATTATTGAAATGTAGGATTTTCCATTCCCAAGTCTAGGTCGCCTGGGTATTTGACTTTGAATAAGAGCACCTACCACTACAGCCAGTCAAGGCGGCGTGCGGTCGAAAAATTAAGAGGATATTTAGATAATTGGTCAGTTTAATTTATGAGAGATTAAAAATAATGATGAAAGTAAAATTAGTTATTATAATAATAAAATTAAAATTAATAATAAAATATATGTTTAAATATAAATACGGCTGTGAAGGTGAAGTAAAATATAGTGATAAAAAATGATTATTAAGAATATTAAAGTAAAATTTGTATATAATAAAAATTTTGAAATATTTTTTATTTAATAGTATATCAAATAAATAATTAAAATTATTTGTTTATTATATAATTATAAATTTTATTTATTATATTAAATTAATAAAATTATTTCAAAAATTTTAAATAAAAAATTAAAAATTAAAAAGATTACAAAAAGCAAAAGTTAATTTCCAAGAACATTTCCAAGAACACTATAATCTTAAGGTTAAAATAAAAAAATAAAAAGGTCAGAAATGAAAAAAAGGAGTCCAGTGGAAACGGAGAATCTCCACTTAAACTTTCACCCTTCGATTGAAAATCTCATGCCACTGGGTGCAAACGCACTAAATCAGTGTTATCCAAATGTTTGTCAATGATACGAAATGGAATAAAAGCATTGTTTTCCTGCCACACCGGTGCTTCGTTCAAATTCAAATGAAAATTAAGAGTTCAATTTGAATGGACTATAAGATTATTGACCGATTAAAAATAACGATAAAAATAAAATTAATTACTGTTGTAAACGTTAAATTTATTCAAATTTTTTAAATTGGGACTGATTTCGATTTATTTGAGTCAAGATCCAATTTTATTTGTTGGGCCTGAGCCCATTAATTTATTTTTTTTTATTTTATTTTATTATTAATTTTATAATTAAATATTAAAATACAATAACATTAAACAAAATATTTAATTAATTTAAAAAATGATGATAAACAAAAAACACAGAAGCAGAAATCAATCCTGCCAAGCCACTCCCATGCCCTGGCCCAACTACCCCAGCCTACAACACAATCCCCTCTCCCTTTTTTTTTTCAGCATTGTTTCCACTGAACCTACAAGGAGACACCATCAAAATTAAAAAAATATAAGCAAGCCCCCTACACCCAGCTCCCTCACCGCCCGCCAAACAACACACCCTACATCACCACAAATCACACCATCGCCGCCACTACCCACGCTACCCGCAGCCCCCTTAAAACCATCCACTTCCCCACCAGGCACACACCCCCAATCTAGCCAAAGAAAACCGCCCCCAATAGAACCCCCTGTCACAACCAAGAGAGCAGCCCAAAACCATCATCTTCTTTAACAAAAAAAATATATATATTTTTCAGATTCACAGCACCCATTTGCCCCCCGAAAAGCACCACTGTCAACACCCAAGAACACAACAAAAGAAAGCCATAAAAAAAGGAAAAGAAACCCATTTACCCTCTATTTCCAAAATCACAAAACAAAAAATCATAACATAAATATCCACAGTGGAAAGGAAAGGGGAGTGGGAGAAGAAGAAGAAAGAAAGAATGAAAAAGTGAAAGAGAGTTTGACAAGCAACAAAGAGGAAATTTTTTTTCCTTCTATAAAAAAATATTGAAAGGAAATTGGGGGCAGGATTCAGTTCACTTAGGAAAGTTAAAAAAAAAAAAAAAAAAGCTTAAAAAAAAAACCTTTGTAAAGTCAAAATAAAAAAAACTTCGAAATAAAAAGTTTTAAAACGTAAAAAAAAAAAACAAAAAAAAGCTTTGAAAAGTTAGCAAAAAAGTTTTGAAAAGTCCAACAAATCTTGGAAAAGTTAAAAAAGAAAATTGAAAAGTATTAAAAATATCTTTAAAAAGTCGAAAAAAAAGATATTTTGAACTCAAATAAAAAAAAAAAAGTAGCTTTGAAAAGTTAGCAAAAAAGTTTTGAAAAGTCCAACAAATTTTGAAAAAGTTAAAAAAGAAAGAAAATTGAAAAATATTAAAAATATCTTTAAAAAGTCCAAAAAAAAGATATTTTGAACTCACAAAAAAAAAAAAATCGGCTGGTCAAATCGGTTCAAAGGTCTGGACTTAATTCCAAAAACTTAGTTTTGTGGTATATTTTATTTTATTTTATTTAATTTTTGTTTCATTTATTCATTTTATCATAGCTTTAATATTTTTATTTTTATTAATGTTACTTTAAGATTTTTTAAATAATAATAATAATTACAATGATAAATGAAATACATGTATATATATGTTTATGAAAATTATTTTGTTATGAATATTTGATATTATGATATTATTACGAATTGTTTATAAATAAATGTTTATTTTTGAAAAAAAATAATTTAAATTTTAAAATAATTTTTAGAAAGAGAGTTTTAGAAATTAAAATGAAATAATAGGTTTTTTTCTTTAATGAAATGAAATGCAATAACTTTGAAAACCCTACCTAAATGTTAAAGAAAATTCAAATCGTGTTTTGAAATTTTAATTCTACCTAAATGTTAGGAAATAAAATAAATAAATAAATAATTTTTTTTTCACAAAATAAATAAATAATTTTTTTAATTTTTATTTTAGAAAGAAAATAAAATGGTATAGGATTAAATATGTACAAGATGAATTAAATCAGTCATTTCAATTTTTAGTTTGCATTTGTATCATTTATTTATCTTATGTTACATTGAAAATTGTTAGCTTTATAGGTTAGATGGTAATCCAATAACAGGGTAAATTGGATTTTTTCAAAGTCTTCCTAAACAAATGATTTTAATATAGTTGAATGAAAATTAAAACAATAAATATTTTTTATGAAAATATAATGCAAACAATAACAATTAATGAATCTAAAATCAAATATAAATAACAATAAACTGTAAAGAGATAGGGATAGAGAAATCAAATACAATGATTTATAGAGATTCGATTCTGCTCCACAACATATCTACATTCTCTCTTCTTGGTTGTCCACACCAATGCTTTAATCCACTATTCTTGAATTAAAAATACAACCTATCTTTTTCTTTCTAAGACTTAAGATAGAAACCTCTACCCTTTGTAGTATTTTATCCAATCTCACTATAAAGCTCTCAAGAGGATACCTCACCTCTTGTTCTTTTCCACCCTTTGTATATCAAAGATAATTTTGTAAACAATAGAATAACGTCTCTAAGGCTAAGTGTTTGCTAAGTTTAAGTACAAGAAAATGATGAATGAACAACAAATAAAAATTGGATACAATAAATACAAAGATATGGACTTTGAAGCTCTAAAAACTCTTGATTTTTTGAGAGAATGAAAATGTGGCTTATTGGCTTTTGCTCTTTTGATTCATCAATCTTCTTGATGTGTTGGAGTGCCCAATTTATAGAGAAATTGAAGAGGTAGCCGTTGGAAGTGTTTGGGAGAAGAAAATAGCCATTGGAAGCACCAAAAAGTAGACGTTGGAGTGTTTCCACCCAGAATCGATCGATCCTTTCCATGAGGGGATCGATCTTGTCAGTGGCTGGACGGTTATCTCCTATTCTATACTCTACTCACTAATTTGATCATATCATGAGTTATACAAATCCAAATCATAAATCGTTTGAAGATTTAGAAACTAGACTTAAATGGCTTTCTATCCATATAAATTTTATCACCTAATTCACTGTGTACGAATTATAGTGAATTTTTAAAATTACACCTTGTGCAGTTTTTTCTGACAACTGCAGAGTGTCTAGTAAAAATTCAAAATCTTTTCTTAGAAAATTTGGATTTTGATTTTGTTTAATCCATTAGAAAGTAGACTTAAATAGCTTTCCAACCATATAAAATTCAAATATTAAGACTTTGTGAATTAATACAAAAAAATAAAACAATTTCAATGTTGGAAAACTTTGTTATTGTAAAATAACTTTCTTATGTTAATCTATTTCTCAAAACCAATATTATCAAAATTGTATTAAGTCAAAAATGAATAAGTTCACTTTAAAAGCAACAATTGGACTTTCATTTAAGCTCAAATAAATAATCTTTAAAGAAAATTTAGTTTGAGAAATATGACACCAAGAAAGGTTTGTTTAAACTTTGAAAATCATATTATTTATTTAGTACCAAAATATAAAACTATGTCTTGTAATCAATGTTAACCAAAGTTTGTATAATCAATCAAGCATTCAAATTTTATCAAAAATAGGTAACCAAATTCAAGTTCTCTCAAAATAAAAGTTTAGAGGTTACCCATCTCCATTGTGTGTTTAAAGTATTTAATCTTTGTTCTCACATTGTGGCTCATTGCTCTAGCACACTTACAAGAGACAATCTAATTTGATTTTTGGTACCAAAGTTGCTTTAGGTCCTTGAGAGTTAGTCACCAAGTCTCTTGCTCCTTTTAGAACCCATACTTGCCTAATTCTAAATGGGACTTTTCTTCTAAGAGGACAAGTATGTGTAGTATGACCATGAAAATTACAAAAATTATATTTAATCATTTTAGTACTAAATGAATTCTTTAAAAGATTTTGTTTTTCATTCATCAAATCATCAAATTTTTTTCAAATCAAAATTTTCTTTTTCTAAAAATTCATTTCTACTTAGAGAGGTTTTTAAATCTGTTTTCAACTTTTCATTTTCTTTTTCTAAAACATTTTTTGCATTCATCAAAAGATCATTTTCAACTTTCAATTTTGAAATCATTTTCTTATGTTTCAAATGCATATTTTCAAACTCAATTACTATATCATTGTAAGCATCTTGTAACTCATCAAAAGTATAAGAGTTTGAATCACAAGAGTTAGAGGTTACCTTTGGTTCCTCAATAGCCATGAGACATATTGGATGTTGGTTGAAAATTTGTCTTTCATGTAGCTTATCCAACTTTCTCCATATCTCATTTGAGGTTGAGCATTTTGAGACCAAGTTG